AGATATTGGGCTAGCCTAGGCATAGCTTTACTATACGAAAGGTTAGACGAAGATATTGCACTATTTTAGGCTAGGGTATTTATTTTCCAACATTTAATTCTAAATTTTCGATATATTTTTTCTTTATTTTCATGAATTTTCCAAAAATAAAAAAAATAAAAAAATCAGGCGGGCGAAAAAAACGATGCGGGCGGGGACGCGAAACATTTTTTTTTTTTACTTGGCCTAATGATTTGTTTTAAAAATGCAGACTATTATTGATACCAAGAAATAGGCCCCATCACTAATAAGCAATTAGTAGAGCTCCGCATAGTACACTATAGGAAAATTATTGTACGAAGGTTAGATTTAATGCTTGAAAAAATTTCCTGAGGGCCTGCAAGGCCAGAAGGAAATTTTTTAATGCATTAAATCTAACCCAAGTATAATAATTTTCCATTTAGTGTACGATGCATGCTCTAATAATTGCTTTATAAGTCAATCACCATCTTAATTTTAGTTTTTTTTATAACCAACTGTTGTAGCAGTCATCGGTTGCTATAGTGATATGATCAGTATACGTGTGCGTATTTACATTTAACTGTGAGTATGCTGATTTTTGCTCCTGCAGTACACGTGTAACTACACATCAGCAGCACAGTACAGATACGATGACGGATGATTAACTTTTGTAATTTGTATTGTGTTAGAATAAACTTGTTTGTAATGCTATTTTGATAGACTTTCGTCAAAGAAATATCAAAGAAATAAACATTTCGGCATTCGAGAGAGAATACAGTCTCTGACGCCCTTTTTGGTCGGTGCATGCAGACAGGTAAAATCGTGCGAAGTTTTCATAACTAGGCTAGGCTACGGTCTAGTAGTAGTAGCAGTAGTACGAGGAGGAGGCCAGTGCGGCCTCCTGCCTGGCCTTAGTCCTACATCTAAATTTGTACCTGGAGTCTTTAAAATTGTTATAGAATATTCCTATTAAACATTCAGTTTGTTGTGTTTATGAGGGTCCATTGATTCAATGAATTCCTTAATTGTTCATACTTAATATTGAATTTGAAGTAACTTTCTTCGGGTTCTTATCTTAATATGCTTGTTTTACGAAAGTAATTTTCAATTACAATTCAATTTTTATTGTGGTACGCGATGTATTCGCAGTGACGAAAAAATGAGGAATTTTTTTTGCATATGAACCTAAAAAAAAAATCAAGACAAGCGTCCACTAATAGAAAAATTGCATGTTATTACATAAATACCTACCTTACAGGACAAGATGTTACCGAAAGCCGAAAATGTATCATAGAGAGCTTTGTTATCAATTGATTTGTCCAAGTTTTTAATGAAGACGTTACCCATGCCAGTACGACGCAAAGTTGGATCACGCTGAGACCACATAATACGAATAGGGCGGCCTTTGATGGCATCAAAGTTCATAGTGTCAAGTGCTCTCTCAGCTTTATTAAAAAAAAAAACAAAAAAAAAACACATGGCATCAAAGTTCATAGTGTCAAGTGCTCTCTCAGCTTTATAAAAAAAAAAACAAGTTAACCAAAAGCAATAAAAATGTCATGGAACAACTAAAAAAAAAAAAAAAAAAATAGGCCTAGCGTATTCATACGAATAAGTGGCTGGGGCATTTACTGTTGAGAAGGGTTTCGAAGAGAATTTATTTGAATAAATGTGGTAAAACAAAAAACTGTCACTAAATCACAAATTTAGACAATGAAACAGAAATGAATGCAAATTTTATTTCATATATTTCTAAATTAGCATTATTTTGTTGAAATGAGACCAAAAAAAACAAAAAAAAAACAGCTTTTTATTATATTTTTTTCTTATTACAAAAACATTTTGTCAGGGTGGTCAATCCAGCAAGAACAGATCAACTGGGACCCTCAATACAGTAAGCTAGGTCTACATATAAAAAGACAAGACTGAATAAAAAAAAAGGATGAAAATTAAACTAGGGGGCCTAGGCCTAGATCTTAAAGTGGACATGAATGATGGATAGATTAAAGAATTAGATAATAGTTACTTTATTATCATAAATTATGGTATGTTACTTGAATGAGTTCACGTTAAATTATATTCAGATTTAATGGATTATCCTTGATGTCCTAAATAAATCTAATCCAAAGATGTCTAATTTAACACTTTTTACATAGGCCTAGGTAGGGCCTAGGCCACTAGGCCTACATCAGAATCCATCAACTGAAGTCAGAGAAATGACTAATTTACAACTCAACAAAAGACATGCATTTCAAGTTGAATTTGGCCTACACTCTAGCTTCATGGCTAGCCTACCTTGGGCTAGGCCTAAGCCTAGGCTAAGCTAGTCACAAAAGAAAAGGGCACGGCACGATTACCAAAGTCAAAAAGAACCTACCGTCTGCAGCCTGCTGAAAATTTACGTAGGCGTAGCCAAGAGAGCGTCTGGTGATCGCATCACGACACACACGTATGGACAAAATAGGCCCAGCTGTTGAGAATTTCTCGAAAAGCATAGCTTCTGTAACGTCAGGATTCAAATCTCCAACATACAGCGAGGCAATAGGATAGTTTGAGACTCCTTGTGCGTTCATTTTGATAGCGTTTTGACTTTAATAAATTAAGAATACCTTGCGTAACTTAGAAATGCAATTACGAAATAAAGCGCTGAGATGATTTTACAATATGGACGGTTGCCTTTTTTCAGTGGTGTTTTCGCTACTATATGACTCTCCTTTGATAGCCCTGGTATTCAAATATCTTCGAGAATTTGATTAACTTAGCAATTAATTTTTTGTTGATTTAAACTTCCAAATAACAAAGTCTAACGGGTCGTGAAGCAAATGTTGTTGCTCACAAGCCTCGTTTAAGAAGCGTAATCCAGAAAATGTAAGGGACGAAAGGCCTTCTGGCTCACATGGTTTCTTTATACCACCAGTTCCTTATAGCCAAAATGCTTCCGCGAAATGAAGTTCATAAAATTAAACTATAAACACATAGATTGTATATAGAAACTATCTTTCAGTATTCATATTAGTAAGAAAATATGAAATATATATTTTTATATACAAAAACTGTAATATGAATTATAGTTTATAATTAAATTTGCCTTATAATAAAGCGGAATAATTTACATGGCCTTATCATAAATATTTGTGAGGGCGCTATATGCGACAAGCCTATTAATTTTGTTGAATTTTGACATTAGAATCGCCACGTCTTTTTCTATTTCAGACAATACGAAAGTTGGTGGAGAAGGGAAAACCACAACGCTTTCAACAGTGGTTCTCTTTTGACAAAAAAGATACATAATAAATACGGTACTTTAACATGATAGTAAAACAAGACCTCTGCGGAATAAAATATGATAAATAAGTAAATCTCGCTTCATGAACACGGCCAACATCCTAACCGGGCTTGGTAAACTGTTGATATAGAATCAAAAACATTTAATTTAAGGCGGCGTATACTGCACTGAAGTTCAATTATATATCAGACCGTGAATTCAATGTAAATCATGGCATTGGTTGTTTTCTACTTCAACTAAATCAATGTGTCGGCGTTGAATGACACCGGACCTGTCCGAAGGGGAGGGTGAGAGTGTATCGTCCACGCTAACCTGAAAGTTTTTCACACTATTAATCCTAGCCAACTAAGTACAGTATGTCATAGTTTATGACAGTATTAATTAATTAATTATTAATTGTTCAACATTTTTTTTTAATGGAGATAGGCCTATAAAGAAAATTAGGCCTATAGTCACATTTTAAGTTTGAGAGTGTAATTTCCGGCCATAGAATGCCATACTAATATATACCGTAATGTATACCGGTAATGTCTGGAGATTTTTGTATGATTGGAAAGAAATACAAAAAAAGAAAGAGGGAAGAAGGAGGAGAAAGATGGGAAAGAGAATGTTTATCCAGTCCCCGACCGAGTTACATTTTCTCACAATTCACATTGGCGGATCTGGGGAAAGGGGGTCATGGGTCCTTACCCCTCCATTGGGCAACAAAAAAAAAGAATGCTAGACCTACCTTTTCAGGACCCGTGCGCTGATTTTTTGTTTTTGTTTTTTTTTGTTACATTAAGAAAATTAGAATTTTGAACATAAAAGTCATTAAAACACACTTCAAATGTCGGGAAAGCCCTGTTACAATAAGAAAATTAGAATTTTGAAGATCATGAAAGTCATTAAAACACACTTCAAATGTCGGGAAAGCTCATTTCCCGCCATCTAGGAATTAACATTTTCCCAGGGGAGACTCCCGGACCACCGTTTCTTTTTGGGATTTATCGATTCATGAAACAAAGAAGACGCATGCAATTACTCATTTATATGAGTGTATACACACATAAAATAAAAAAATGAGAAAAATTTACCTCTGACCGTTTTCCAGAGGGGAAAACCTTAAATTTTGAAGAACTTTGATTCATTGAATCATTTTCAAGAGGGGAAAAACCTTGAATTTTGAAATTAAAAGTAATTAAAATACCCCTCCAAAGTCGGGAAAGCTCATTTCCCGCCTTCTAGGAATCAAAATTTTCACGAGGGAGAAACCCCGGACCCCTTTCTTTTTGGGATTTATTGATTCATGAAAAAAAAATCGTATATGCAACTACTCAATTTTTTAATGTATGTATGCACACATAAGGCCTATCTACTATAATAACAATGGGAAAAATTTACCTGACCGTTTTCAAGAGGGGAAAACCTTGAATTTTGAAGAACTTAGATTAAAATAGCTAAAAGATACTTCAGAAGTCGGGAAAGCTCATTTCCCGCCATTTAGAAATCAACATTTTCCCGGGGAGAACCATGAACCTCCATTTTCTCTTTGGATTCATTAATTTATCATAATAATTTTCAAGAGGGTAAAACCTTGAATTTTGAAGAACTTAAAAGTAATTAAAAGACACCTCAAAAGTCGGGAAAACTCATTTCCCGCCTTATAGGAATCAAAATTTTCCCGGGGACCCCCCTCCCCTTCTCTTTGGAGGTTACGATTCATTGAAAAAAATATACGTATGCTCCCCTCCCCACTTTGAAAACGTTCCGCCTCCCCTGCCATAATCACAAATTCTCTTACCTCAGCCCCACCCATGGTGGTGGGGGGGGGGGGGGCTGAGGTAGTATAGATATTCTATTTCGAATTCCTGGATCCACCACTGGAAATTACAACAATTATGAAGTCATATTACAGTAGCTTGATGTCTATGAAATAACTAATAAAATTCACCAAACTTCGTCAAATATCCTTAGCTTGGGATTCAACCACAATGTATGGTTAATACAAAATCAATCACAAGGAGGATGTGCGTTGATTCCATAACCTTACAAAAAGGCATATATAATTTTATTATATTTTGTTGTTCCAAAATTACAAAAAAAAAGCGAAAACATTACTTTAATTATTACTCTTTGATTAATGAATTGTTATTTCATTTTAACGAATGCTATTCGTTAAAAAAAGAAAAAAGAAAAAAAATTTAGATCTAGAGCTTAAAACTGACGAACACACTTAGATAGAGTACATCTAAAAAGAAAGTCAAAAATAACCACCGAGCACTGAGAGACTGAAAATGAACACAGAATCTGAAGAAGAGTAACGGACGTGAATGGTATGTAAATTTCAAATCATACAGTGTTGGAAGTGGAAAAGGAATAACAACAACAAAAAAAATACTGAGAAATTGAGAAGATATCTAATAAGCGTATAAAACTGTATTAATTGGCAGGTAAAATGTAAAGTTTCCAGGCCCATATCCAGTAGGCCTAGGTAGGGGTGTTATGAAGAGTGTGTAGGCTGTAACGAAGTATATACGAACCTGCAACCTTTCTTTAATGATTTATATATAATTTAACAGTGTTAACGGTTATATCGATTATATATATAAGCCTAATCATACATGTATATTATATATAGGGCCCCATTATATTATATATATATATATAATATATATATATATATAGGATATATATATATACATATATATATATATAGGCTACATATACTTAAATATGTATACATATATAATTTATATAAGAATAGGTCGAAAATTGGTTTCCTCCACTATATATATATATATATATATATATAGGCTACATATACTTAAATATGTATACATATATAATTTATATAAGAATAGGTCGAAAAGTGTTTCTAAAGTTCATACATATGATATTCGTTTTTTTATACTCAAATATTTACACAATTCATACCATCGATTCAATCGTTTGTTACTCAATAAAAAGCAACAATACTAAGCCTGTCCGTCCATAGTTGTAGGGTTAAAAATTTAACGTTACCACTTTATTAGATCAGGAACAACGGAGAAGCAGGTGCCCTTGGCGTTTGCTATAATGTCAGGGAAGATGATTGTAGACTACGCCGCAGTGTTAAGTTCGATTCTTCGCATTTTGCCTGTGACTAACGTACAGAAGGTGGTGACAGACTTTGAATCATCAATTTGGCAGGCTCTGCGAGATGTGTTGCCGGATGTGCAAGTGACGGGCTGTCTCTTTCACTACACGCAGGTATGTTTACACTTTCTACAAGATGCGAATATATAAAAAAAGTGTTTTTTGGATTAACATAACAATGTGAATTTGTGAAAGCTAATTTGTTAATCACTCTTGCAAATGTTACAAACTATAAAATTTATGTTTTCATTTATATTACTGGCAATTGATTACTGTTAATCGTTTTTGCAGACTGTGTACCGAAGAACACAAGATTTCGGACTAGGAGGTGCCTACAGGATCGATGCTGGAACACA